ATAAGTAGAAACTGAGTATATGTTAGTGTTGCCCAAAATCGGTTTTACAAAGTGTAAAACCAAGACCAAGACCAGCATAGGTAAAAAAAATCGATTTTCTAAATAAAAATTAAGGCAAAGTAGTTACTAATACTTGACAATCTTAGTTGCTATATGTTAATAATTGGTATAACCAATATACTTTCTCATTTAAATCCTCCAATTTTTCATTCGGGTTTCCCCTATCTAAAAAATTACAGTAATATATATATAGTAATAAGATAATAAGTAACTGCAAGACACTTACAAGACTTCCGCAAGACCATGACCAAGACTGAGTTAGGCGGCCTTGGTCTTGGTCTTGTAGAGTGCAAGATCAAGACCGATTTTGGGCAACACTTAATATAATCGTCCATTAATTTCTTTAATCATCTATTCATGCTTGGTGGTATGCTTGGTATAGGAATATGAATTATATTTAATAAAAACAATAAAGTTCTCTTCTGCTAAAACGAAAATGTGTGTAATTTATTATAAGTTGAAAAAAATAAAATTATTTGCCCTCATAGTAATTAAATTTTTAACTGAATATATATCATCAATGTATATATATATAAGTAAACTAATTCCTTATAATAAGATTTATTTAATTTCAAATTTTGTTTTGGATGTAGGTAAAGAATAGTGCGAACATAATTAACCAACAAATTAATAGCTGAATAATGGCTGCAAAAGAGTATAAAACCGCTAACATAAATTTGCAAACATAAAATGTTCAAAACAATAAAATTAAAAATATGTAAATACTCTTTAAGAGCAGTAGTTGACTATGAAGAAGAAAAATGTTGTTTATCTCAAGACGGTTCTCGTAAACTGAGAGTATTATAAAGAAATATAATTGTTCCAAGATGATCCTCGTAAACTAATAGTATTCGAGAGAAACATTATAAGATGTTACGGGGTACGGGGTACCTCATGTTAAAAGTGAATGGAAAATTAAGAGGAATGATGAGATAGAGGGTATCGAAGCGAATAGGGTCAGAGATGGACAGAACACCTGATCAGAATGGAGGTTGAAAGGATACAAAAGAAAAGTACAGATCGCATGATGAGCAAGAAGTATGATGAAATAGAGAGAGGAAAGGAAGCCAAGAATCCACAATGGGACGAAAGAGGGACAAATTAAAAAGCATAATTCAGAAGGATAAGGGTCATGCTGACCTTTAACATTGGGAAGTAAGGTAGACACAAGAATTAAAAGTTAATTAGTTACCGATCAAACTAAATGAGTTAAAGCTATCTTTAAATAATTTAAAAAACAATAGTAAACAAAAAAATATATAATAAAATGGCAAAAACTAAATTAATAAAGATTCTAACAATAAATGAAGTAATTGAAAAAAAATACAGTAAAAGACTAAAAAATTAAAAACAAAATCTTCTCAAGAATACTTATGGTTGGCATAACAAAAAAAAAAACATATAGAGCAAAAAGCAAAAATTAGAGAAAAGAAAAAATAGCAAAAGTAAGGAATGAAAAAGATTTTAGTTTGTATGTTAAGCAGTAGGCTAGTTAAAAAGACTAAATTAATAAAATATATACAGTAATTTAAATAAAATTATATATCGGATAAATGAACGTAAAAACTCTGAAGGGCAAAATAAATAAATTTAAATATACTACTAACATTCCTTAATATAATGTATTGAAACATACAATAGGAGGCACGTATTTAGAATAACATATTTTCACTGATTATTTAAATACCTATTTATAACTTCTTTATTTTTGTAGTATTATTAAAAATAGATCCTTTCCAGTTAGTCCGGAGTGTGCGAATGTCAAAACCATCAGAGAGAAAAATGACATTTCCATTAGGAATATAAAAAGATTTGGCAAGGGAAAGTACAAGCGCTACTGGTTTTCGACGGATAAACAACTTTTCGGACGAACAGCCAGTGCGAGCATTCGCAAGAACACGCAGGATCTGTTGAGATATGAATCACTTTCCTTCATTAAGCAACATGCATATCGTATTAAGCCTTTCTATTTTCTCTTTCCGACCAATTAATAAAGAGAAATATTAATTTATAATTGTCAGATTCAACTTATTAATAAACGCGAATGAAATTCATATGATTTATTAACATTCTTACTAATTACTGCTAGTGTAAACTGCATTAGTAATATATTCATGTTCTGAGTTGATAATTATAATGAAAATAAATTAGGTTAATTCAACTAATCAAGAACTTATGATTGGCAATCTGGAGATTTTAGGGTCAGTATATATCAGTACTTGTGACGATTCAAACTTTTATAATTTTGATGAAATTAAATTCGACATTTTTCCAATACAAATTAATTAAAAATAATTCTCTAATAATGAATTAACAATTATTGTTTATGCAAAATATGTATTACTATTTATATTAACGAATAATATTTAAGGTAAATGGACCTGTAATAGGCATTTTAAATGTGAACTACAGCTTTTGTTCCGATGGTAGATCTTTGCAAATGGGGCTAATTGAAAGCAAATTCAGTCATGACTTTAGTTAATGGTTTTTTACATTTAGGCATGACATCACCTGAGGTTTAGGCATCACCCTCTTAAGTTTTTTAACTAAAAATATACTCAGCGTTCTCTTTTTGGTGTATAAAGCTTATTATCTGTTAATGAATTAATATAATAATGAATTTAAAACTATCTATTATTAGTACATTTATCATAGATCATTTTATTTTTTTAAATTAAAAATTAATTAAATATTGAGAGCTCCATATTTATTGCTCATTAATATCCATACCTATTACTCATTAATATCAATACCTATTACTCATTAATATCCATACCTATTACTCATTAATATCAATACCTATTACTCATTAATATCAATACCTATGACTCATTAAAATAAAATTCAGGCTAAGAAAATAAGAAAGATTGATTTATTATGTCCTCAATAGCCAGCTATGCGGTATAGTATAAATAACGCCCCTATTGGGCAAGAGAATTGCCAATGTTCTATCATATCGTTGATTAAATTTAAGAACACAACGATTTAATATTGACATTTATTTAAGTTAAGATTCTTATTTTTTTATTTTTTCGTAGTTTGTTGTTGTTTTTTTTTTTTCTGATACTTTTATCTTTCGGGAATTCTCATTCATCTACACATCTGGGGACTTGTAAACTTTCGGTTAAAGTTTTATTTGTTAAAAGTTATTATTTTATTTCGTAAAAAAAGCACATTAGTATTGTAAATTAGATATTAAATGCTCGGTTTCATAAAAATAATTTTAATTAGTAATTTTTAAATTCATGGATTTAAAAACTAATGGATAGCAATATATCAGATTATTTATTAAATACGCATACTCCACACCCAGAATGAAAAAGCAGAACCCGAAAACTCATACATTAAGAAATTTTAAAAATAGCATTTTATCACACCATTTAAAAAAAAATTAAATAAAATAAATACTATATATTCAGACAAAACCATGACAAGATATTTCGTGTGTCCAACGTTCATTTTAACAAACATATTTTTTATAGCATCCACCATTCATTTTGGATCTGAGATATATTCTATATTTTGTTTTATAATAAATATATTTTTTATTGAAAATGTATAAAACAAAACAATATTACTATCGAATAGACATTAGAAAATAAATTATTGATTCCCATTTCTAACAAAAACATTATCCAAATATATAACACAACAAATGAATAAAGTTAATTAATTAGTTGTAATAATTAACATTATTACCCATCAGTGATAATATGAAACAATGATTTTGAAGAAGGCTCATTTTTTTTTTGTTTTTTAAGTTTTACCTCGTCCATCGTCGGAAACGGTTGGTTTGACAACTGACAATTTTCTCCCAAGTTTTTCAGTACTTTTTTTTTATCCAATCAAAATCCGTCGATGTTCGTGATCAATTGTCTTTGTTCCTTTGTCATCTAGTAGGCTCAAATCACCCTCATGAAATTTAGAACGAAGCCTATTAAAGGAAAATAGACGAATAATAACTAATAATTTATTAAGCTTGTTTTAAGATCTGTTATATGTGCGTGTCGTATATATAAAAACAATAAATAACCTGCATACAATAAAAAAAAGTAACGAACTCAAAACCAAAAATCAACGTAATTAATATTGAAAGACTAAAACTATATCTACAACTAATTTTATGAAAGGTATATTTGTAGAAGCTCATGTAATTTATTTTAAACACGTCTAGGAGATAACATCATAGCATAAATCAGTTTTAAGTAATGATGAAAACTTCATATAAAATTCTTATAAATTACTATATAAGCTGAGATATCTGGAGAATTAAATTACTTGTATTTATATGCGAGTATATATATACACACTTGAATTTTATTATTTGTAAATATTACATTTCTCCATACTTATGGAGTTAAGTAATGGTGGTGACTGTTCAACATTCATACTATGTATGAGTATAAGTACATTAAACAATGTTTTTTTCAAGTGCAGACTCGTTCGGAATTTCCTAGGCTATCTATCTGGCTGCATATATATATATATATATATATATATATATATATATATATATATATATATATATATATATATATTAAATATTGTTCGTGATGTTAAAGTTATTTTATGAAAGTAAATTCAAAATTAAATTAGAATCTATACGGAAAGATATATTTAAAGACATATCAAAAAAGAATATTTAAAATACTTGATACTCAAAAATAAAATCATCCTCTCAAAAAAAAGAAAAACGATAGGTTCATTAGACGTTAAATGCTTTGTTTCTTTTGTACTCTCTTTTACTTTTACAGTAATATAAACTATTAAAAAATGTCAAAACTCTGTAAAATATTTTTCAAAAATCAAACTCGATCTCTTCAAAAATAATTTATTAAATATATATCTTAATATATTAATATGATAATTAGGCGGAAGCTTCAATATGAGAATACTATCAGCTGGACTGATAAGAATCATAGAATGATAACCCATCTCACCAAGAGCTGGCGTCTTCTTCTTTATCTTTCGTATCCAGACTTCAGTGACGTCTTCGAGTGCCAGGTTCCACATTTTGTCGAAAGCAGAGAGGTATGCGATAACGTAGCCTCGTATACCCCAACCCGAACGGGTCGTAACCTGAAATCAATTTTACACTAAAATCAATATATATAATATAAAGGAAAGTGGAAGTAACAAGGAAATATTATGGAACCCTTGGAAAAAGAACTACACAGAATGAATGATAGTGTGGTTGACGCTGCTCCATCAGGATTCCATCTGATGGATGGAAGAAAGGATGAAAATAGTATCTTTCATTCTGTACTCCTATTCTCTTAACAAAATTAAATTAATATAAAATTCAATTTGTCTAATTTTTTTTAAATAAATTATTTTTTTTATATGCAAATTTTTAGCTGCATAAATATTATTATCACTAATTTCATTTTTTTTTTTAGGTGGGTAACGTTTTGTTTGGAAAGAAATACTAAAACAACTTTATTAGTAAGTAACTTAGACTAAGAAATTAGCTTTTCAAATTGACATTTTTTTATAATAAATATTTTTAAAAATCCAATTATAATAATTAATTTCATAATAACTAATTATTTTTAAATTAATTGTTAATTAGGAACAATAGGAATAAATTTACTTACTTTAATCCTTGTTCTATTCTCGACCATCTCCCTGAGTTTGGCCAAAGGTCCTTCTACGTTGAGCATAAATTTACGAATATTCTTCTTACCTACGGAAATTTTTTTTTTTTTTAAATTATAAAAAAACTTCGACAAAAAAAATGGGAACAGAGAAGAATAAAATAAAATGCACCGTAAATTCCTAATATTAGTGTCATACGCATTATCGTTTTAAAGCAATTTTTTAAATATACACATATTTAGCGACATTTAGCGAGACTTGATTAGTAGAATTCAAGAGACCTCATAAAATTTATTTTCTTTGAAAACTCGGATTCGAAATTTTTCACAACCGCAATAATTTACCCAAATATATACTTCATATATTGGTAAATTAAAGTAAAATATTCCATGAATTTTAAAAACTGTTTCATCTTTGGTATTGATAGGATTCACCAAGGTTATCAATTTTGTGAAAAACGAAGCACTTACTTCTGACATACAAAATAATAATATACATTAACAACTTGGAAAGAAAGTAAGAAACAAAACTAAATTGAAACTGGGTGTAATGTTTAAAAGGGATGAGAAAGGGAGATGAAAAATTTTGTAAGAAAAAGGTTTGTTGATTTATTGTTTTTCGTTAATATTAATCTTCGGTTATAATTGAATATTAATTTATTGTTGTAATGTTAAATTTCAACTTCCAAATTGCAGATTAATATAAATATATTTTTTACTTCATTCAAATTATGGAGTATTCAAAATAAAATATGAATAACTACATGTGCATAAAGTAAAGCCTAAAGATATTTGATCACCAGTTTGAAAACAGCATACACACAAAATATGCAAATCCATAAAAAAAAAAAAAAAAATAGTGCTCTGATAATAAAATAGAAAAATGCCAGTTGGAAAATGAAATTTTTATATCTTGGATCCCAAAGGTGTCTTTTTTCTGTTGTAACGATTTTAGCATTATCTTCTCAAGTGAAAAAAAAAGGCACGTCTCGCAGAAATTTCAGGAAAAAATACTATCAAGAAAAATATACTTTATTTTTCGACATAGGAGGTATATACTTGTACATATAGTAGTTAATTAGACAATAACCTGCATTAAAATATCTATAACACCAACCTGCATCAAATTGATTTTTTCGTGTTAAGAGCTGTTGTAATGTTTCTTTATATGCTACTTTGGAATATGCAATCCTTTTTACTAGTATGGACTCATTTTTATAGGAAAAAGTGCTGTTGAGGTTATTTTATGCCTACGAAAACGTAGTAATAAATATTTTATTTGTGCGATAAAATAAATTTTCTGGCTGATTTTACTGCGACTACTGTTTGTTTTTTTTTTTCTGTCATATCTAGTTTTTCGGCTATTTGTGATTTATTACTATACGATTCGAGAAAAAACAATCACAACAAATGACTGTAGGATACTTTCTAGTGGTAAGGTAAGTAAGACCAATCTCAGACAATTAGAAAACATGAAAGAATCAAATTACGAATACATATTTTGTAGTTTGTAGTTGAAGCAATGTTGCATCACTTCTGTAATTTTAGTCCAAAGCTGAGTGTAAAAATTCATTTTTTAAATTCCTATCTTTAATACATTCCTGAATCTCGGTGTAACAATAGTGAGTAAAATTTAAAAATGAGTAACAAACTGACATTTTTCATCTAAACGTACCATACGATGCCTGGATACTACGCTCTCAGAAGAGAAATAACAAAAACGAAAATTTGAGATTTAATCAAATTCATTTTTCTATCCAGTGACGTTGAGCATTGACTGTGACACCACTATGAGAATTTTTTTTTGCGAATTTCGCGTGTTTTTTCTTTGTACGGTATCGATGTTGATTTTCAAGACTCTTCAAAACTTTAACTCAACCAAGATGTGATGATAAAATACTAAACGCAGAAATGAAATCACTATGAAAAAATATTTTTAAAATAAATATTTTCCAAAATTTTCCGTATATTTTTTTTTTCAATGTTCAGCGTATATAGTCAATCAAAAACGCCACCAATGCAGGGCCGCGTTTTCTAGCTACAAAGAGCGGAAGCAGTTACGAAGCGAGTGGAACAGATGGGATCAGTAATAAATATCGATATGTAATAAAGGTAATAAAAAACAATAAGAGAGGATAATATTGACAAAGAGAGATGGAGCGAAAGGAAGAGGATCACGAATGTTTACACTGCGTGTATATGTATGTATGTATGTGTGTGTGTGTGTGTGTGTGTGTGTGTGTGTGTGTGTGTGTGTGTGTGTGTGTGTGTGTGTGTGTGTGAGTGAGAGAGAGAGAGAGAGTGAGAGAGGAGCGAGAGCGAAGGCACGGGCGATGACCCGCCCACTCGGTGGACGACCCCGTGTCAACCCGCCTTCCTCCGCTAAGCGCTAAATAGCCCTTCCCCGTCTTTCAGTCACTTTGCTAAAGTTTTAGTAATATTTAAATATAATAATTGTATAATAAATAAATAATGTAATAATTAATAACGTGTGAGAGAATTTCTCCTATTGAAACCCCATTCAAACATCGTATTTTTTCGATAAAGACTGTTTTAAACGGTCAAGTTTCTCGACCACAGCTTTGTCCTAGAAATCGTAGTCAAGTACTTCGGTTTTCAATCACAAGGGGATGTCTCCGCAGACCTTATAGACCCTTTTACACGGTTAAGCTTCTTGTTTAAGCTTTAAGCTCCAACAACGTTGTGATTGAAGTATTAAATATTTTCCGCTAGGTGTGCCAGGTATCGAAGTAACCTTGCCCTGCAACATAACTGTTGCTATTAGTATTAAAAAATTAAATGTATGCTAGTTCCATTTTGCAATTCCAAGATACCAGCCAGTTTCATGATCATCATACTACTCCGAGAAACGTAAAAATATCTGTGTCCGGAAAAAGACAAGGGCCGAAATGAAAGTCAATTAACCGGAAATATTTACAATAAAGAGAAAATAACGAAAAAAAAGCACTGACAATAACATTCCAACTCTGACCTATGGAATACACCAGCTTTCCATTACAAATGGAGTGTATTACGACCAAATAATCAAATTAAAAGAACTGGATCAATGCAGTGTTTATGATTGTGTGAACGCAACAGCGGGGTTCGATCTTCAATAATGAAGAATTGCTTTGAATAAATAATATTTCTTTTAACAATAACGAGCAGTGACGTCATTAACCCACACTCGAAAATGGTCAAAGCCATTTCCGTACTTCCGCTGTTGGTCCAAATCCAGAAATTATTTTTATAACATCTAATTAATTTTCTCAGCTAAATGATAGCAATTATGGCTTCCTAGCATTCATGGAAGCAAAGCTAAGAGCGTTTGAAATTCACACTTAAAAAGACTGAACATCTTTTCGTCCAAAACACTCGATGAATAAATGTAATCCACACAAATTCGATAAATTCTAATCCAGCTTCCCATCCTGTTACAATGATCCTCAGATGGTTCTGAAAAAAAAAAAAAAAGCTTTCGGACATAGCAAAGAACAATAATAGGAGTGCAGCGGTCCCATAGTTTTTTCGTTAATAAATCACATTGCATTATCGTAAAAATGAAAAAGGGTATAAGTAGCAGATTTCTTAAATTCTTTTAAGTGAACAGAGGAATATAATTTTTTGGTTATTTCGGATCTGGTAATGCGCACTACTCAATTTGTTAAGGTGGGAGTGAATCTTGGAAAAAAAAAAGATAATCAAGAAATAGAGGCACTTACGCCGGCCTAAAGTGTTCTTTTTTATCTCAGGAGATCTGAAAAGCATAGATCCGTTGAAAAGTGCACATCGAAGAATTGACTCGATTACAATACTGTCCTTAAATAGTAAAAATATAGAAGCAAATGAACAGGATATCGTAGTAGATATATAATTATTTTAATAACTGAGAAGTTATATTAACGTTGCTGTACACCTCATAACTAAATAAATAACTTTTTACGAAATTGTTAAAAGACACTTGAAGGTCATGCAGAATAATCTTTCCCCGAGATGAAAGGAAAGGAGATCCTTGCTCATGAATCAGGAATTGGCTCATCCCAATTCATGGTAGCCGAATCGCATTCTTCAAGGGTACCAAACTGACGAATGTAACAGACTTTTGAAGCTTCTACCGTCTGGCGCCATGTCATCATCAATAGAAACGTCGTCACATTATACAGCTCGCCTACGATCAACATCCTAGATAGGCAATAGGAAAGTGTAAGGCTCTCCGGGTGCAAACCTACAAATCCTAGGCCCAGGATATATCACGGCCTGCAAAACAGGATGTGGTACGTACTTTTGAGATAAAAAGAGACGATTTCCTTATTGCGGTTCCAATAATAACCGTAAATAAGTGATAAAAGGTTCTCTATTTGATAGTAAAGGGTGTAATAATAAACCATGACATCATTCAAATTAATTTCGCGACGGGACTTCCGTTAACACTGACAATCTTTTGTATATTTTTCTATAAAATTCAATTGTTTTACAAACGATATAATTTTAATGTTATATTATATTTTACTATTTTATTTAATGGAAGGAATTTAAGCTATGCATTAACATGATCGCTGATTTATTTCTGTCCAAACATTGGAACAAAAAGGGTCATTGTTCAAAACTTTGAAATAATTTGAGATTAATAAACAAATTATTGATCGAATTTACACCTATGAATCTTCATTTAAATAGAATTACTATGTTTGGTGAGGATTTTCGATACGTCACGAGTGTTTGGGCAGAGTTATATAATTATTTTTAATAAATATGCCAAGACCTGATTTACCAAATTTACAATAATGAACCGTAGTCACAGGTAATTATTTCCCAAAAATGTCAGATCGGTTCCTACAATGCCAGATCATGTTCGACTATCAAATCCTTTAAGTGAAAGTTAATGAGTAAACCGCACCAATTTCATTCATTATGTTTTATTAATAATCCATACACATCGTAAAATGATATAAAATATATACATCGAAGGTTAAATATGATGCTTTCTAGCATGTATACTTTATATTTTCTAAATTCATATTAGAACAAAAAATAAAATTGCTATAAATTACGAGTAATGTTGTCCAAAATCGGTCTTGGTCTTACACTT